AGTGGGGCAGCAGCCTGGCGCCCTGGGGCTCGGCGGCTAGGAGGAGACTGCACGCCGACCAGAGGGCCTCGCCTCGGCTGAGCTGCAGCGCTCCGCGAGGTCCCCGGCTCCCCAGGCTCCCGGGATGACAGGAGCAGCTCCGGTGGATGAGGGTGAGCTGCTTCCCCGTGTCCTCTCCCGGACGATGACCCGGGGCGAGTGGGCCGGAACCACCTCGTGCAGAGGGGGCCTGCAGGGGCCCAGGGGCTTCCCGAGCGCCAGCCGGTCTCCACACGTGGCCGTGGCGCAAGTCGCGACAGAGCAGGTGTCGGGGTCGCTGAAGAAAGGGAGCCGCGGATGTTTCCAGGGGTTCGTGGCGGATGGCCCTGGAAGGTGCGGTCTAATGGGCTGTTTCAGTTGAAACATTCTTTTTTCTTTTTTTCTTTTTTTTAAAGATCAGTTGAAACATTCGTAATCCCCCAATTACTTTCCAACTATTGTTATAGTTCATGTACTATTCGGGGATCTGAAATTACTGATATCAATTGGAAACGTAAAACATAGAAAAGTAATCCACTTAGGTCCAAAGAGGGCCACCACCACACACTTGTTGGGGGTAGTAAAGAAAAACCAGAGGTGTTAATCACCTGGTCTAAAAATAGCCCAGAAAATGTGCCGCTCCTAAGCTATCTCAAAGGGGCTGGGAATCAGGTGCAACTTCATTCAGCACAGGTGTGTGCCCTCGTCACCAGATCAAGGACACGAGGAATTGGCTATGCGTGGTAGAGGCATTCCATTTTCAGTTATTTTAGAAAAATCTCCCAGTAGCCCAGCTCAGGAATACAAGACACAAAGTGCCTAGCACAGGTTCATTTCTGCTACTCTATTTGACCGCATACTAATCTGCAGAGCTACTGACTTTTGCCCAGTGCCATGGAAATCTAGTAACTAAAAATAAGTGAAATTCTGTAACCATGGATCCATAAGTTCTTTTGGAGCAGGATGTATGTTATAAGGACAGGAAGGACACAGGGCAGGTTTTCTATGATTCAGCAGACCCGGTAAAGGAGGAATCAGAGTCCTCAGTGTTTTTTTGCAGGTCTTTTATTCGGATTTACCCGGTACACAGCAAGCAGGGATGCTGGGGGGCCGGGAGGCTGGCAGGCCTCCCAGCCCCAGCAAGTCTTCACTCTGTCTGGGTTCTCCGGCCTTCTCTCGGCTTCTGCTGCTACTGGCATCCCCGTGACGCCGCCCTTAAAAGCCCAGTCTTTGCCCAGGTGAATCCCATCTACCTATGCCCACACCCTATTCCAGGTGCCCGCCATCAGGCATGCATTCAGGACCACAAGAATCCATCCTCTATCCCGATGGCGGGAGGGCAGAAAAGCCTGACATTTTTCCTTACCCTACATATGTCTGTCAACATCGTTCATTAGTAACTCTTGGATTTATGATTTGCAGTTGGTTTTGGTGGAGGCCAAATGGAGCAAGGAGGCAAGTTTCAAAAAAGCTAGGGATGAGCCAGCAAGACATGGAGCAGGTTCTCTTCGGATCTGGGCATACTGGTAAAGAAGGAGTCCTGGAGCCCTCAGTGGGTTTTTCAGGTTTTTAATGATGTTTCTACACCATTTGTAGTGAGGCAACCAGGTGCAGGGCAGGCAGGTAGGCCTGGGGGCTGAGAGGTTGGCAGGCCTCCCAGTCCCCAGCGACTCTTTACTCTTTCTGGGCTCTCTGGCATTCTCTAGCTGTCTCTTTGCTGGTCTCTACTGCTCTCTGCCACACGGCCCTTTGCTGCCCCGCCTCTGTGACACCACCCTTCTATGTTCAGTCTCTCTGCTCAGGTGCGCCCACTTACGCACGCCCACACCACACTACAGGTGCTGCCATTAGGCAGGTGTGTAAGATCACAGGTGTCCATCATAGATGTTAATGGTGGAGGGTAGGGGAAACCTGATAACTTCCATTTACCCTACAGGCTAGTTGCATAGCAGGAAAGTACCTGTGATTGATTAGTTGTCCATATATATGTGACTTTATTTCTGGGTTTTCAGTTCAATTCCATTGGTTGGTGGTGGTAATTTTATGGGATTATACCTGAGAGGAGAAATCAAACATTGTACAAAAATAAACAATGATATAAAAATATATAAATAAAAATAAAGAACCTATGTGACTAGCCCACTATGGGTGTTCCATCACCAGAAACAAAACTTGGACTTCCTGGTTATCGAGGTGCACGCTGGTGATAAGCTGCACTTTCATTATTAGGATACAATTTAATGCTTATCCTTCCTCTGTAGCTATGTAGTATCCTTTGTCTATGATGAAGCTCTCCCATAAGTATAAACTGTTTGAATTCTGTGCAACCAAACACTTGAGACGATAAATGTGAAATTAACACAAAAAGAATGAGAAAGGAACTTCAGATACAGGCCACTCTGAGGCCTGAAGGATGGGAGAGTGTTAGTATTTGGTGTTGAAAGCACACAATGTTATAAGTGGGTGTATGAAGTAGGATACTTCAAATCTGTTGGATATTAGGAAAGCACCTTCAGAAAACAACAAGAACTTGTTCTGGCTTGATCCAATAGAAAAACATTTCTAACTTTGACAAAGCATACACTATCCTTGGTTGCCAGATGTGTATATAAACAGAGAAGGAACACAGTATTAGTCCTCAGTTCTTCCTCTTTTCCTAACAAATTCTTTTGACCCTACACAGCTTAGAAGTAGCAGTGCAGTTCCACATATGAAAGTCCTTTCTTCGCAAATGTAATATTACAAATGCTTCTGAATCCTAATTAAGGCCATAGTTATTGAAGAAAGAGTCAGAGAAAATCCCATGTCTGGCAGAAGTTATGACAGCATTAACAACAAAACAGGCTTGGGAAGGAAGTCAGTTCAGGAGGAAAGAGGATGCACATGTGTGAATGTGGCATGAATACGTTTTTATATGTATGTGCTGTGTGTATACATACATCTCATTTTCACATGCCACATATATGTGGGAGAAATGATCTGCAATAAAAAAATTAAATATAATCATTTTATTCTCTTAGCTCGGGACTTGAGCTACATCTAAATCTACAATCTGCCACCTACTGGCTATGACTGTAAATAAGTTATTTAACTGCTCTGAGACTGGTTTCCTCATCTATAAAATAGCAATGATTTTTATTCTCTGATGAGGATCAAAAGAGGCAATGTGTATTAATAAATTAATAAACACTACTGCAGAATTGCAGAGGTGCAATTTTGACCAAAATTTACTGGCCTTCTTTCCCTTCTCTGAGGGTTTGTGTTGTGTGAAAGAAGGGAAAATGAAACAGAGCTGATGCACTAAGGTGGAAGGAATTGTTTGATGGCATGAGGAAATTGCATTAACTTTGTGTTACTTGTCTGCACTAGAATAACCCCCTGGGAACCGACCTGGAAATCTCCTATTTGTCCACAGAGACGGCTAAGACATGGCCCTCCTGACCCTGTACTTCTATCTTCCATCATCCACTTGCCACACTGTGAGAGACAAGAGGGCCATCCAGGGCATGTGGTAGAAGGTCAGACTGAGAGGAGTCTCCTGTCATGATGTTTTAGGGCACAAAATGCTGTGCCATTTCACTATCAATCTGACGTTAGCAAAGATCCTGAGAAAAGAGCATAACTAAAAAATCTGAGATGCTGAAAGTTATCACCTACCAAGGACTGAATCGAGAGTCAAGCCTATTTTTTCCTATTATGATGACTTTCTCAACACCAGAGCTACTTCCAACTTGAGGACAGATGCTGCTGGTGCTCTGCCTCATTTACCCCCAGTTCACCCGGTGCACCCGCAGCTGTGTGAGACAGTTTGAGCACCCTGACAACTTCCATGTCAGGTGCCTGGTTCTCCTTTCCTTTCCCTCAGGGCTTTCTTGGGACCAAGAGAGAAGACCTTGGGGAACTTGCTTGCAAGGAATGCATCTGGAAGGTAAGAGCTTAATGCTCTGGAATCTGGAAAGGGAATTTAATGCTCCCTGGAGCAACCCTTACCAATAGGGTTTAGACAGCTTCTGTCCTATTCTCAGTAATTTCCAGGGGTGCCTCTAGCATGGACAAATGACCCCAAGTTGCTCATTGTGGTAATAATCAACTCACATAAAATACTCTTTTGGGGCTTTTCTCCTTCCTGCCTTACTTTCCCCCACTTCCTCACATGTGTTTCTTCACCTCCTACATAGACAACCAGCTCGAAATCTTTATCTTGAGTCTCACTTCTGAAGGAAATCCAACTGAGACATAGTCTAAAATTCTAATGGTTATTGCTACTGTTATTGTTTTTAAATAAAACTATATTCCTACAAAAAAAAAGTAATAATGACTGTGGGTTACAGATCCCAATAACACTTTTTTAATGGTTAAAAAAAACAGAAGCGAAACTCCTCAGCAAAGCAGCAAGCTATTCCTCCTGTTTCACTAAGTACCCATCTTGCCAACAGCTGCTCTAATTTCAAAGCAGAGTGGTGATAGATTTGAAGGGGTTCTATTAATGCAATTACAGATCTGGTTTGGATTTTCTAGCTATTAAACAACAGATTTTAGAATATATCCCAAAAGCAGGGTATTATTTCTCAATTCAAAAACCAAATAACTGAATTCATAATGTTAAGAAATTCAAAATATGATTGAAGTATTTATATTACTGAAAACAAAACCAACCATCTCTACATGCATTCTAGATTTTTCAACCATGTGTATATATTTTGGGAAGATTTTAAGAGATTTAAATAAAATATCTAAAAATGACCCACCATTTTATTTTAGCAAAGGCAGAGTCCCAGCTTCTGGCAGTTGACTGTAACTATGGGCTAAAAGTGATTAGATTGAAAACATACATGTGTAAAATTCTCACATGGAAATAGTAGTAGTATAACCCATGAAAATGTGCTGGTTATTTACTCTGCTGTTTGTCCTGGTGCAGAGATGCTAGGCCAGTTGGTTAGTTACATAGAATAAGTTCACATAACATTTTTGTTTTATCAGTGCTAATCATTTATTTAACAAAATGGAAATTTCTAATATCTAGCACTTTTCTACATTTAAAACTTCAGGGGAAAGATACTCGTGTTCTACACTACATATTATTACAAAAGAGTTCATGATTAATTTAGAATGGTTAAAACACTCTCTAATGATAGGATTTATCATCCTTTGGTAAAGTAAGGTGACATTTTTCTTGCAGAAAATGTCCATTTCTTGTCAGGTGAGTTGTATTACTTGCACAATCTTCCCTTCACTCAACCCGTCCATCTGAGGATTTCTTTTACCAATAAAACAGGTGGAAGTCCATTTCTCCATCTTGGTTCCCAAGTCAGGTATAATTCCTTGTAATTTAGGGAAGAACTCAAACATACATAAGTCAAAGGGTGGTTTTTCCCACTCTTTACTCACACGCTGTTCTAGAAAGTCAAGGTTTCTTGGTGGTTTTGCTCATATGCTGATGGCTATGAATGCCGTGATCATTAGTGCGAAAGTGTGGGAGAGGTCTTGAATAATGTATAGCACCCAAGGGAAAGAACAACAACCCCCAATATTTGAATGATTGTTTTGCAAACTCTGAAAGCCAGTGATCACTTGTGCCTTGCAGAATCTGGGGGCTCTATGCCCAGGTGCAAAGTGCATTTTCCAGGTTTCTCCAGGGCAAAGGCAGGGTGAACGCCCTCATTAAACCTGTGCCTAATGATGAAGAGCAGCTGTCCACTTTCAGCATTTATGAATACGAGCCTCTGGTTGTTGTAGTCCAACAGAATGCCCACTCGGGCGGGACGCTCAGTCACTTGAACATCGCTCACAATGCCGCTGTAGAAAAACGTGTATCTGAAATGAAACAATGGGAAATGTAAAACTTTGGAAATCTTGAGGGAACAGGAGAAAGAAAATCACTCAGAGATAACTAATTTTTCAGTTATTAACTTCAGTTCACAATAATATGCAATAATAATATGAATTGCAGTAATGGCCCACATACTTTAACCAAGATCCCTTCTAGATGCTAAATTGCATAGTTCATCCCAATAGACGAGCATTTTTAATAATTTTGCTCCTTCTACATTAGGAGGCATTCCCAGAATAACCAACATATGCCTCCCTTGTGATTTTTCTCAACATTCTAATTCTTTCCCAGCTGCCCACATGTTTTAACTACCGCATTCATGGAGTGTCACTCTTTTGAATAAAACTCCTTGGAGGTTGCCATGTATTTTTAAAAGTACCACAGGATTACCTTCCATAAAATGTATTAATTTTACAGCTTAAAAGATTTACTGGTAACTTGCATAAGGGCCTTTACGAAGTTTAAGAAATATAATTTTGGCCCCACTTCATCCTTTGTCTGTGTACCCTTCCCCCAAACCTATTTTCCTTTTCACATTTTCTGCAACCTTGCAGCTGAAGAGATTTGCCTTCAATTTCTTTTTTCAAGTCAAATAAATTTAATTCAATGAGTATTCATTGGACACATCTGTGTGTGTGTCCTGCACTTTACTAGGCACTCCGGGCTATATGAAAGACCGCAGAATACTACTGTCCTTTGCCCTCCGGGAACCCATATGTACTCTACTGAGCAGGAAGGAAAACATTTTCAATGACTTAATCATGGACTAGACCCTGCAGAATTTACTCTGCTGTTGCATTTCCTACTGAGCACCTCAGTTCCTTCTTGCATCTGCACACTGGCGTCAAGCCAAACCTTTCTGCCTGGGGCTGACATCCTGCCCAGCTTGTGCCTGCCCATCCTTGGGTCTGCTGGCCTCCGTTCAAACAAGCATTATCTAGAAGCCTGACTCTTGACACCTGTGTTACCTGGGAACTGCCTGTGCCCTTGTGCCTACTCCAGATGGACTCACTCCCAGACTGAGCCCAGACCCCTTTTATCCTGGTGATTACCCTCCATGGCTTCTCATCCCCCAGGCTGCTCACAATCTTCCTTGGTTCCCCTCTTCTCTATGGCCCCACCTGAATGCTGACACCTCTGTAGATGCTTGTAGATTTTTGATCAGAAAAGGAAGGGGCATGATGAAAATGATGTTAGAGAAATATTTGCCAGTTCTGACACATGGGAGAGCTTGAGGTGGGAGGAGACTAGGAGAACGCTAAAGATGTTGGCTGTTGGTCATACTGGTAAAGGAGATGAAGAAGTGAACTAGGGCAGTAGGGTTAGGAGTAGACAGGAAGAAATTCTTTTTCCTTAGAATCTATTTCTCCTTTCTAATTGTGACATCTTGAAGCTTAGGTTCTATACAAGTAGAATCAAAAGTGTGCTTGGTTTAAAACCATGAAGCAGGAAAAATTGAAAAACAGGAAGATCTGCCATAGCTGCTCTAAGGGCCAGGGATGATGGGATTTGAGACTTGATCTCTCTGTGTTGTGACCACATAGGAAGATACACTCTTCCTCCCAGAATCTACAGAACCTATCCTGGGCCTGTGATGGGGCCAAATACCAAGAAGTTGTGAACCTGTTGGATAAAACAAACAATTCTGCTTTCTAAGGTCTAGAAATGTGTTATTGGAGTCTGATCTTTCATTTGGGTTCTTCAGGGTTCAAGTGTCAAAGGTAGTTTTTATGAAATCATTACCTACTTTCAACTCTTAAGTCTACTGATAATATACTCCAGGTTTGAGTGATTTTAAGCTGTGGGCAGGGGCTGGGTCCTTAAGCATTGAACAGTACTGAATATCAATTAACCATAATTGCTCTAATTTGATGAAATGTGACTTAAAATAGCTCTTGGAGACAGTGTCCTTATGAACCATGTCAGAGAATCAAACTCTGTTAAGTAAGATGCAGGGAGAAATGTGCAGCTGAGATATGCAAAATCCCAGTCTGTGGGCCTTTTTCTGGGAACTTGAAAGCATTGAGGGCTTCCTTCTTAAAGCATTACATTTGAATAATGCCTCACATTTTTATATTTTACAATTTCAAACTTCTTCTATGTATCTGAGTTCATGTTATCCTCACAACCCTAAAAGGTAGCAAGACAGTATTCATGGTCACCTGACGAGAGAGAGGAGTCATACCAGGTTTGCTGAAAGCTTTACCCAACATCTGGTGAGTAGCCAATAGAAAGTCAATAGGCAAGGATGGAGCCAGGACTAAAATCAAATTTCTGGCTCCCACTTAGTGCTCTTTCTAGTAGATCATACTGTGGACATTCTGTGATTATAACATGCTTGCCTTATTTCTCTGATAATAACAGGTTGTGGCTTTTTCACATCACCCAACTAAATAATTATAATAATATAGACCAGGAGTTAGGGAACTTGTTCTGTAAAGGGCCAGACTATAAATATCTTAGGCTTTGGGGGCCATTTGGTCTCTGCTGCAAGTAGTGAATTCTACCATTGTAGCACAAAGGCAGTCATAGACAATATGTAAACAATTAAGGATCGCTGTATTCCAAAAAAAAAAAAACTTTACAAAAACAGATAGTGGGTCATATTTGCCCTCTGGGCTATAGTTTGCCCGATTTAGATCATTGGTGGGGAGGTGGGGGTTTTGAGAACACATTTCTTCCATACCCCTGTTAATCTCTCTGTGGAGTGAGATATTTCAGCATTACCTTGTGGTCTCTCCCCATTTTGGGGTAAGTTTAGAAAGAAAAACTGGTCAGGAATAATCTGGAAGCCCTTCCTTTTCCCTGTTAAAAAAGGAAGTTATGAGCTTCCCTAGGAGACACATCCTTCTCTGCTTTGCTGGGGATCAATTCTGCCCTATAGGATGGGAAAGCTGGCCTAGCCAAGGCTCTGGGGGAGTATGAGTCTGTCTCAACATAAGATACCTTCTCAGGTATGAAGCACATTCTCTAAGATTGTCTTAGTTTAGTCTTCATATACTTGAGTTTGTGGAATTTTTTTTAGTTGGCTCAGAACTTCAGTGGCAAAATGGAATATTAGTTCTTTACCAACTCATGATTGTTTTTTAAAAGATTTATTTATTCATGCATACAAGAGCTGGGGTGCAGGCCAGATGTGTGAGGGGAGGGGGAACGGTGTGTGTGACAGGATTTACCAGAGCCAGAGCGGGGAACAGAACAGGCATATTGAACTTGCAGCCTTATCTTCGTAAGAACAGGCAGATTAACTGAAGTACACTGCTGAGGGGAGCAGCGGGCGAGCCAGGAGAGGTCAGCTGCACCATGTGGGTTGTTCCCTGGCCAGCCAGGGATTCGAACTTGTGCTGCAGAGGCTGCAGACAACTTCTCAGGTTGTGTCTTAACCCCTTACGCCACCAGGGAGGCCCAACTCATGATATATTGATTATGAAGGGAAGGTGCTGGCTTACCTCTGTGGCTGAGAGCAGTGCATGTACCATGATGTCTCCCCTTGTCCCAGGGCACCAGCCTGCACAGCTGAACTGGAGCAGATGCCAAGTCGATAAGCAGGGCAATCTATGACCGTGGTTTCCCAGTAATGCTGGCCACATGCAGGGAGCTCCTCACCCAGTACCGATGGGATTCTGGAGACAAAGTTGATCAGGAGAAGCTTAGCGCAGGTATCACCAATCTTTCACAAACATCAATATTCACAAACTCACACACATTTTAGGACGGATTCTGTCCTTGGAAATTGCTGGAGTTTTGTGCCCCCAACCTTGACCTGAATGTCACAAAATTCCTCAGGCTCTCAATGTGCATTTGATATTTACCCAGCCACACGCAACATGTATGTACTGCACATTGCATCTCTTGAAGGAGCTAAGAACCAGGAAATTAACTGAAATAATGTAAAAACAAAAGAAATGGCATGATATCTGCTTTCAAAGAGAATTAGAAAATAGAAGGGGGGCAGGTAAGGGATTCCAAGAACACAAGATTTGCAAAACATACTTCCAAAAACTTGCAAGAAATGTCTCTAAAAGCTTTTTTAACAATGAGCTTTAATGTCTGCTGACCTTACTGGGCACAGAGACCAAATGCGGTACATTTCTTGAACAGCAAAGACAGCCAGTGAGATCAGAGTAGAGCAGCATGTGGAATTAGTCAGGTGTGTGAAAGCTGTGGTCAATGGTCTTTAGGACTCTGGCCTCTTTGGATTATAATAAGTGTACCTGAGAGGTTGTTGAGAGGCCTCTTTGTCTGACCTTGGCTATTTTTATAACAGGCCCCATGAAATGAACCAAAGCCCTTTCAACTGCTGATGGGTGACCTTGTTTGTATGAATTACTCGATTTTGTTTTGAAATGGCTGAGACAGCAAGGAAGCATTTTTAATTTAAGCAGCCTTAATATTCAGTCAGCACCCTCTCCCTTTCCCCTTTAACAGATGAGAAAATGATTAATGCAAGGGAATGTATTTCACTTTCTCATGTCTTTACCCAACAACCTCATTTCAGAGAGGTAGTTTACTGACAGGCCCTTGCTCTCTGGAGCAAAGCCCAGCAGCTTGCTATTTATGAGCAAATTTTCAGGTTAATAATAAATAAATTAAATTCTATAAAATATAGTTATCATCTGTAATTATCTATGAACTCTTACCAACCAGCAATTTTCTTTAATTTTTTGAGAAATCCAAAAAAAGACAGAAAAGCCCAAACTATTTCTTCAGTCTTTTTTTTCCTCTGAATTCACTGGTTTGTATAAGTTGAACATCTACAATGTTCTAGGTCCCCACACTAGATTCTGAAGATTCAAACATGCAGAAGATAGCGCTGCTGCCTTGAGACTGATTACAGAGCAAGTGCTCAGACCTTTTCACAGATAGCAGTCAAAAGGCACAGGTTCCAGAGAAGGCCTGGCCACTTCCAGCAGCAGGTAACACCAAAGCTGGGCCATAGACAGAAGAATAGCATTCTGATAGGAAAAAAGTACAAGTCATGGTTGATCATTGGTCAACTCAATGCTTTATGCTTAATGCTTGCTGGTTTCTGGCAGCACACCTGGGACATGTCAGTGCCAACAGCCGTGTATGCATTCACATGTGTTATGGTTTCAGAAAGACCTTCATGAACTTTCTCCAAGCTGATCATTTTGACCTTCAAAATAACCTTGAGAAGTTGCGGGCAAATTACAGAACAGTCTGTGCACATGCCCTCAGCTTCTGCTCTTTACTTTGGTGCTTCTTTTTGTGAGAGCTAATGGGGAGGAGTGGAGAGGCAAGATTTCAAAAGTCCTGTGTGTGGTTAGAATTAGAAACTCAGCAAAATGTCATCCTCTGTTCATTTTCCATCTCATGGATACAAAATCTGGTTTGCAATTGAAAATAATAGCACTAACCTGGGTTTTTTTTTTTTAACATTGAGCCAGAGATAATGCCTTAAAACAGCCCATGTGTTACAAAAGACCATCTGTCCTTATATTTCCAATAAAATATTGACACTTGCTCCAAGTTATGAACTGTCACTTCCCTTGGCAATGAACCAAAACTGAAACTTATGAGTGTGCACAAACTCATAGTGGGTACCAGGCATCCAGGACTGTTCATTAAATCAAGAATATGCTCAGGTGAGGCTATATGGGGGGGGGGGGACATATTCTAGAAGCCTCTGCTGCCTGCAGAGGCCTCTTGTGCTCTCTTTTACTTACTCTGTCAGCCGTCTCCTCTCAGTGAAGCTGATCACTGTCCCATTTGAGGAAATCTGCAGAGCAGGATGAGCTGTTTCTCTCAACAAGAGAAATCGGGTTCCTTCACAGTTAAGAAAATAGGATTTTAAGATTACCACAATGACAAGTGCTGTCCCAAAGCCAAGTTCCACGTATCAGGCCTTAGCCTCCTATTCCCTGACACCAAAATCACCTGCTCTCAGTGTTTTCAGATCCACAAGTGAAAATCTCATCCATGATAAGACACTATGAATGCCAATGGCTGGCTACCTCTACCTGGTTTCCTCTACCTGGTGCAGGTGCATCTCCTGTACCAGAACTCACTCCATAATGTAAAATGTGCTCTTAGCACCAGCAGCATCTACCTCACCCAAAACTGGTTAGATATGCAGAATATTGGGCCCCATCCCAGAACTACTGAATCAGAATCCATATTTTAATGAGATCTTCAGGAGATTCACACACACATGAAAGTCTGAAGATGCACTGGCATGACCCAAAGGAGTGGTTATAATAGTGGAAAGTAGACACCATATTGGGACTATTGGGAAAACATGCCTGGGCAGCCAGCCCTCACATCTCTTTATAAACATCAGGTTAGCCCCTTATAAACATCAGGGCCAACCTGATGTTTATAAAGAAGCACATGTATTAATCTCATACCAAAAAAAGAGGCACATGCATTCATCTTATACCATTTTCCAACATAGGATAAGATAATATCACCATTCCTAAACTATTTTCACAGTAATTAAGAACAAACATTTTTTTGTTATTGCTGGAATCATCAGGGTATTTTCCCCAACATGTTATATCATTAAATTGTTCATCCATTCATTTACTCATTCAACAAACATTAATTGGCACCAAAAAAAAATAAGAATACGAGAATAAGATTAGGAGTTTGTTCATAGAGTTCACAGTGTAATAAAATAAGAATATCTCCAACACTCCCTTCCCCCCAACACTCTGAAAACATACCCACAAAATATAGCACATTGTGAACCAAACAAGAATCATCTAGGAAGATTACCATTTCAGAACCCCTCTCCAGATCAATTAGATCAGGGTCTCCCATAATAGGGCATGGGCATCTGAACTTTTTAAGCACCCTGACTGATTCCTAATGGGTAAAGGTTGAAAGCCTCTAAACCAGAAAAATAAAAGAAATATCTTGACCTTTGCCCAATCTTAGGTCCTCATGTTCAAATGCTACTACTGCCAACAGGTTGGGGGCTTCAGGGCGTTGCCTTCCAGGATGTTTTCTCTGGGTGGTGGAAGGGAAGGAAAGGGAACATTTGGAAATAGTTCTTCATTTACAAAGGGGAAATACCTCTGGTAGAAATGAGGGCAGCTTCACTCTGTTCACTTGTCCCAAATGCATTGATGGCTCTCACGTAGAAAAAGTAATTATCATTGGGTTGAAGGTTAACTTTCAGCTGGAGTCCTTTAATTCCAGAGAAAGATCTAAATACAGATGGAAAGGAATAATTTTAAATATATTGTCATCTGCTAAACAACTCATCATAGTTTAATCCCATTATGAATGAACATCTTTGATTAACAACAAATAACTTATTTTTCCTTTTGATGACCACCAGAGTTGGCAAACGGTCATTGTCCACAAATTATTTTATCAAATTATTTCTCACTTTATCAACTTTTGTCCAATACATGCCTTCCAGAACACACTTTGGAATAGGACCAATAAACTTTTATTTTTAATTCAGAATACAGACTGATTCGTGGTTAATGAGTTCCCAAGAATATATTATTTTCTTTATCATTTTTTGCTGAGAGGGCACTTTTTCATTAAGATGATGTTAAACCAATCTATAATACAAAAGACCAAATTATCTTATTAACAGATCCAAATTATGGAAAACTTAAAATGAGAGATGGTTTTGTACATGATCATCATGCTACAGAACCTAAATTTATAGCAACTGAAGATCTCTGAAGCAACTGAAGGTCTTTAAAGAAAGTTTGATGTTGGCAAGAAGAGAGAATTCTAATAGCCAAATAAAACCTCAAAACTGCCATTCCTGAATTACCTATTTACGGTTTAAAAAAGTGCTGGTAGTGGTATCTGATTGGCAACAGGGTTGGCAAATGCATTGTAACAGTGCAATCATTTAAACAGAAATGGATTTGTTGGATCTGAAGATGGAGCTCTCTGAACTTGCCAAAGAGCTAGACTGGCTTCATGCCTCCTTTCCATTCTCTTTAATCTACTTGATAGCATGGCCTAGAGCATTTATACTAATAAAGCATACAAGTGCTCTTTCTTTTAGCCTTTGGGGACTTATAAGTTAGGCTTCTAATGAATGAATCCCTAACCTGGGTACTGAGGTGCCAGGGTCCTGTTCCTGGGAGATGTTGACTGAATAATGGGCAATGAAAACATTAGTACACCAGTCTTCATATTCATTCTTAGAGGTTTCGGGGTTTTATCTGTGTTTGCTTTGTTTTTGTTTTACTTTGTGTTTATTTTGTTATTAATGTATGTATTTTTCCAGGTTATTTCTACTTCTGTTCACTTATCTTATTCCTCTGTACCTATCTTAGAGAGTAACATGAAGAACTATAAAAATTAAAAAAAAAATCATTGGCTCAAAAAAAAAAAATTCAGAAGTTTTTAAAAGCAGAATATTTGGCCAAAGTAACAACTCCCTCCTCCCATGTCTAAAGGCACAAAAACTTACAGTGCGTTCCTCAGAAGAAAGTGTGGAGGGCATCCTAGGTCTTTTTGTCTATCTGCTATTAGTGCTTGTCTCTGGAGAAGATCAGAGCAAATTCCCCAAAAGATTACTGGTTGTCACTGCTGAGTTATCACCTGACCCTGCCCTCAGGAGTACTATTTTTAGATACTCTGAGAATGGATCGATGAAATTGAGCCCCATGATCACTGACAGCTAATTATGTTTCAGTTAATTAATGAAAAACCATGTCCTGTGATTGAGAATGTAATTCCTGACTAATAAGTCTATTATTCTGGAGTGGATGTATTGTTTATCTTATTTGAATTGATAACTGAAGAGATGTTCTAAATGTACATTAATTATAACAAGCAATACAATTATTCACTCCATAAGCACACTTGGGCCTGAACTGAATCTCAGACTTCACTCACTCATGAAATAAATATTTACTGATCACTTATCATGTGCCCTGGCCCTGTCTCCGCCTGTTATCCTGAAGCCTGAAGGGAAAGTAGCAAAGATAAGTGGGGAAGTTTCATCTCTAGAGACTGGATAGTACATATTGGCTTCATTTTATAACAATATTATCCTTAAATACCAATGCTATTGTTTTATTGGGTGTTTTCTCTTAAGTTTTATGAAGGCTGTCAAGGAGGAAATTGCATGTATATAGTCAATTGCATGCTATGTCATATTACTCATTTAAAGAATAAAGGTTTACATAGTACTGAAGTCAAAATATTGGAACAGATCCTGTTTCAGTGTGTGAACAGGTCATCCAGACTTGACAAATATGCACTATGCCCTTGCTGAATCTGTGAAGTAAAAGCACCAGGCATGAAAATGAAAGTAATAGGAAACGTGGTTGTGTTTTATTGTTTACAAGTTGCCATCTTATGCTTATACACCAAGAACAAAGCAAAAAAGCTCAGAAAAAATAATTCATTTCTATGTCTATTTATTCTGCTTGACCTCACTTAAAAGTTACGAAAGTCTTCATGTCAGCTGTCCCTGTTTTTCAACTAAATGGAAAGTTAGAAAATTTCAGAATTGAAAAATTGGAGAGTGGCACCCTTCCACAGACTATACTTTTTTAATTTCAAAACCAAAAACTGATTATCACAACTGAATCTACATGACTTATAATGAGTTCTACTTAGTTTTTAGTAGGATTCAAATTCACAGAATATTCAAAATAAGGTAAGTGATGAGACAGTAAATGGAACCACATCAAGCTATTAGTGCTTAAGGGATTTTAGCCCCATCAATAATATACTGAAATGACTGTAAGAAAGTCTACAGCCAGTAATAAAATTTAAAAAAACAATAAAAACTATGATTCAAATGGTCTCACTTTGGGTCATCAATGTGAGATTCTTTCTACAATTGCCATAGTATAGTGGAAAGGGATGACTTTATATGTGAAGGTTTCAGAGACAGAGGTCAGGAAACCTAATACAATCTAGAAACCCTGACACATCAACAAATTAGTTGATTGCTGGAAAGAAAAACCCACTGTCCTCTCAGTAATATGATGGGTTGCCATGTGAATGAGACTGGTCTCCACTTCTGTTATTTCAGAGGTAAAGGAGTAGAAACCCCCCTGAAATCTTATGTCTGTTCAATATAAAGGAGGTCTCTCTAATTTGAGTGCTTTCACTCTTTAGTTTTGCAAGGAATTATTGAAAAGTTTGCCACAACTAACCATGGACAATAGAACAAGAGTCATTCTATATGGATCTTTAAAGGCATATTTATGAAGTAAAGATACTTAATGGAGAAATACAAAAAGCATTCCCACTAAGAGAGTGACAGACAGGAGGTTAAAAAAAATTGGGATGTGGAAGGTAAAATTATTACCATTTATCTAGTAAACTCAAGAAAAATCATTTGAAAAAGTCTTACATAATAGGATGGCTAGGTGTGAAATTAATGTAAGAAATCACAATCTTTCACATATAAATAGAAACTAAATAGAAGATAAAACTAAAGAAAGGTCTTAGAGTAGCAGTGGCAAACATAACAAAATGTATAAGATTTAAATGAAGAACATTTTTAAAGATGGTAATGAAGGAAAACACGCAAAGAACTTGAGTAAAGGGGAAGACAAATCAGCTCTTGAATAAGAAAATGCACCATTACAAAAATTTCAATTCTCCTTAAGTTAATCTATCAATTTAACATGATGTCTAAACATATTAAATTGTCAGGGACAGAGGACACTACAAAATCGGAATGAAGGGGATACAAAAAAATAAACTACCAAATAGAAAAAATAAAAGGTCATGAGAAGGAATCCTAACTACCAGAAATTATAAATGATAAAGCTACAGTATTAAAAGCAGTACAGCATTGGGACATAAATTGACAAATCAGTGGAACAGATTCTAGTAGTCAGTAACAGAACGAAACCCATAGACTCTTGAATATATAATAATGGAAGCATATAAAATCAGAAAGAAAAATAATAGGTTTTCTTGCTGTAATACCTGGACAGCCATTCTAAAAAGAAAAATTAATTGGATTACCTATTCCATACTGTCTACTGAAATAAATTCCATATGATTAAAGATCTAGTTTTTAAAAATGAAATCACTGGAGGGGCCTCCCCTGGTGGCGCAGTGTTTGAGCGCTGGGCTGCGAAGCTGCCTGCAGCCTTTGCAGCACCAGTTTGATCCCCGGCTGCCGGCTGCCGGCGAGGGTCCCACATGGCGCAACAGACCTCTCCTGCCGCTCCCGCTGCTCCCCTCAGCAGTGCATTTTGTCACTCTGCCTGTTCTGTTCCCTGCTCTGGTTCTGGTGAATTCTCTCACCCTCCCACGCTTCTGACTGTACCCAGTGCTTGTATAAATAAATAAACAAATTTTAAAAAAAATGAAATCACTGGATAGTGCAAAAATTAAGGGAGGTTATGAGGCAGAAAAGGGGGTAAAGAGGTTTGACACAAAAACAATGTTATTTTAGAAAGAAATTGATGAATTCTACTAAGTTAACATAAAAAATATGCATGGTAAAAATATCAAAAATATTTGCAATGAAGCTTAATGTTCTTAAGAAAAACAAGGAGAAGCTATAAATCATTAAGAAAAAATACTAACAATCTGGCAGGAAAAAAATGGGTAAAAGTAATGAATGACATATTAAAGGAAGTACATAACCCTGGAACATATGAAAAGATGTTCAAACTAAGAATAGAAATGCAGAATTAAACTATAATAACATTCTATTTTCTACATGTCAAATTGTCAAATTTCATTTTATCACACTCTTTTTAGGTAAAGGTTTAAAAGAATCACATACTCTTGATGCTGTTAGCCAGAGTGTAAATAGCTACAGCCTCTACAGAGACAGTTTGGCAATATCTATCAGAATTGAAAATGTGCACACCTTTTCTCCACTCATCCTACTTGTAGGAATTTATCCTACAGATACATCTGCAGATGTGTGAAATGACACGTGCACAAGGCTTTATTTGCAGCATTGTTCGTGATAGCAAGAGAATAGAAACAACAGAAATGGGTCTCAATTGGTCATATAAGTTCAATTATACTTTTAAAATACAGTGGAATTATTTTTTAAAATTGAGGCAGTTCCAGATGTACTGATATAAAATACTCACCAAGAAATATTTTTAAACAAGAAAAGCGAGGTAATAAAATATATGCTGTATGCCACCATTGCTGAAAAAACAGATGTTTGTGTATGCACAGATTTTCTGAAAGGATAAATATGAATCAGGTAACAATAATTGCCCTGGGGAGGAAA